CCCCAAAACCCCAAAACCCCAAAACCCCAAAACCCCATTAATCTAAATAAAAATTGAGAAAATTAGAATTAATTATTACAATTGCTTACAAGACTACACGAACCGCATTACTACCTTGGGACCATCGCTCATTCTTGATGATCTCCGTTTATTTGCTAGACTACCGAAGTTGATCATTGAGAATCCCTAGAAAATGAATATCCTGACTTACGCTGCTCCTTCTGCTACCCTTTAAGCTCTTCTTGGATATGGACCTATACATTACTCTTCTAGGGTCACCTTGAATTCCTTGAACCTCTCTGATTAATTATCGGTATCGACTTATTTTCTTCAGAATTTAAGTTGTGATTATGAGTTGCTAAAATAGATATGAGAAGGATTTCATAGAAAAGTACAAGATTTGTACCGAAGAAATGTTGACTCCATTACTTTAAATTTAGATTTTTAATGCAAAATGGAATAGAAGACTAGATATTTCATCTCTCTAGGGTCAGATTTGGACACCTGATTAATCTCTTCCACTTGTAAAATGTATTATGAGTTATCTGATTAGAGTGAAGAATCTCTAATTAGAATCAGGAATCTCTAATTTAGTCCGTATATATGCATTTAATAATATAGTTATCTCCTGATTCTATTAAAATTGGCATACTATCAGGAATTCTTTAGGCTTACTTTTAGTCATGAAATCTTCAAATTTCCTACACTGGCTCATTTTGGCCTGTTCTTTCAGTATATTATGATAAGTCCCTAAATAAATGACCCAAGGTGATTACGAGTCAACTTTGTGTGAGTCTGTCTAACAAGATATTGTCTCTTCCTTTCCTTATGTGTTTTCTTCAAATCCTTCACTGGTCTTGGTATCTTCTTAAAACTGTTGAAATTTTTGTTAAAAACTGAAGATGAGTTCCGGCCTGAAGGTAATTTTTGGGACATTACTTAAAGTCATCACCTCATTTCTGCTCTTCATCACATTCTGAGCAAGCATAGATTCCATCGTAAGTCTTGAGAGTTTGGGAGCAGGCTTCAAAAATTCCTTGACTATCCCTTTAACCTGACTATTAGGGGGGATTCCTTGGACTACTTTACAGTAGTTCTGAAGACTTTCTAATATTCATGCCTTTGTCTTACCATCTTCTCCAATCTGTGAATAAATTTCTTTCTCAGTTATTTCCTTTAAGATAGCTTTTCTGGAAAACCTCCTGTCGACCGAGAGCAACTTGAAGTTGAAGTGTGATTTAGGCTGCTTCTGAGTTTTAGTTTTTACTTTTGTAGTACGTCTAGAAGATGTATCCTCCTGCTTGAGATTAGAGGACTTTTTGCCATGCTTAGCTTGTTTAAAATGAGTATAAGCTTCCAGTGCGATTCTAGAAATTAACATCTTGAGTACGCAAGTAATTTATTTTATTGAAACATTTTCTTGACTCTTTTATAATGCAAGTATTTCCTAGAAATAATGAACTAATCGTACTCAAAAGTGCTCTTGTTATATTCATCAATGATATACTTCCTGTGAGGATCTCCAGAGATGATCTTTTCAACCTGGAACGAAATCTGTTGCACTCGGCTCTTATAGTTCTTATTTCTCAGGCCTGAAGCACTTTTGCTTTACCTTTAGCTCTAGAAAATATATTGGAGGCTTACTCTGGTTTAGAAGTTTATTAAGAACCTGGTGCTTGGAGTTCCCTCTCTTCTTAACCTTCTCAGTAATCTCTCTGAAACCTATTTTACTAGCACTTTGGGAGATTTTTGGAATTTGGTGTTTCTGATCACCTATTTCTGGAACAATATGGGTCGTTGAGGTCCTCTTTGCAGAATCCTCTCTCATCATTTTTGCGTATAGGCGGTTATACTTTGGATCAGACATTTCATGAAACTTGTACTTGCTTAGCTAAAGAGAAGTGGACTCCCATACCTCCTTCTGTGTCTCAGTGTGTTTTAGGCTCATTGTATGCGGATCGCTCTGGGTTTTAGCTCTATTTGTTATCATGAATGATTTTACAACTTAAATTTTAGATGTTGCAAGATTCATACGCATAATGATCAAGCTTTCTATTTGGTTTCCACCTAAATATCAATAATTTACAAACAAATTGAGGACATACTAAAGAGGCAGAAGTGGGCTTACTCAATTTGCTTTTGCTCTTGACTCTCTCTTCTGCTTTGGCCCATGCTTTAGGAAATACAAGAGCAAGATCTAAAGGAGCCTTCTCTATAGTTTTCTCAGAAGCCATTTTTGAACCTAAAATCCTTTTCTGTGAATTTGAGCGATGTGAGTCTTCTAACTTAGAGTTTTCTTCTTTAATAACCGATATGGAATCATTTTGTGATGATTGAGATGGTATATTACTCGGCTTTGGAGGTAAGTCTAAAATAATGTCAAATTAGGTCCAAAGCTCTCTTCTCTTCTTGCACACTCTTACTTCAGCAAGCATGCACCTTTGGTAGCCAACCAGTTTGGTTTAGTATTAGTAAAGAAACTTAGAAAACTTGACTGAATAAAAATAAGATCTTAGGCTAAGCTAAGTTGGCCAGCTAGCAACTACTACAGAAAATGAGTTTTTACCAGGAAGGAAAATTTGCATTTAAGTGTTTTTTATGTATGATGCAGATAATTTTGGATTTTATTGAGGAGGTTAAGAGAAGTAAGGATATTATTATAAGGTTTCATATTTTTAGGGTTTTAAAACCTATTGAGGCACAGATTTGCTATTTGTACTTATAAAATACTTAAATAAGTTATCAAATCCTTCAACCAGAGGTACCATTTATTCACATACCATCCAACCATCCAGGAACAATCCCCCACATTTAAACACAAAATGCCAAATCTTCACAACCCTAGTACTAAAAATTAATTTACTCTACTTAAACTACAATTCCAAAATACGCATCTACCACCCCTTCCTCTATTTCTGCCCCTAAAATCCCTCCCAACTCTAACTCATAACCTCCCAGTCAAAAATTCTCAACCACCAGAGCACTAACAAGCTTCCTTACTCTCTTTCGGCTTGCTCCAAAACAGAGGGAGAACAGAAGACTTTGAAGTCTCGTTTAGTCTCTCTCCAAGTGGCTCAGTGTTCATTTTTCTTATTCTTAATAAAAATAATAAATGTTTGGGGTTTTGGGGTTTTGGGGTTTTGGGGTTTTGGGG